ACACCAACTCGACTTGATTTGAACTCGACTCAGCTTATCTGACTCGTGAGTTAACTCGACTCGTCCGGAACTCTAATTATATATTTTATTGATATTTAAAAATCAAAATCATAAAATTAAAATAAAATTTTATATTGTGATCAAATGATCAAAATATGACTGATCTATATAATGTGATCTAAGTGATGATATAATTAACATAATTAATATAATTAACATATTAGATATATTTAACATATTTTTATATTTGATATAATTAATATAGTTAATTTAGTTAAAATAGTTAAAATAGTTAAAATTATTAATATAGTTGAAAAAGCTGAGATAGTTAATATATTATTCTATGTATTTGAAAAATATATATATAACTCAGTTATTTAAATTTTTCAGAAAGATTCAGATTTAATTATACTCAGTAGAATTTTCTTAGTAGTTTGTATATACTTAGGTTATTAAATAATACTTAGTTTTATTTATTGCATTTTACCTTTTGTTAAATTATTTCTTTATTTCTTTATTTATTTATTTTTTTTCTTGCATTTACTTATATTTTATCAATAAACTATTTTTATTGTAAACTATCAATTGTGTAGTACTTTGATTAAAGATGGCGTTTTAATTAGTTGTAACAGGTGACAAATAAGTATCACAATATTATAACAAATTGTAATATTATTAAAATTTAAGTTGCAACAGGTGATAAATAAGCATTACAATGTTACAACGCCATCTTTAACTTTGACCATAAGTATTTGTATGTAAATATTCACACTTAGTATAAATATTATTTGATATAATCACGTATTTTACTACATAGATTTAAGAAAATAACTTTCAACATTTTGTTTATCTGTTGCAATTTGCAAAGATTATATGTTAATAATATATATTTAATTTTAGAATAAATTTATTTATTGCAGAAGATGATATATACATTATCTTTATATATATACTTTACTCTAACTCTAATTTTAACTCTAACCTAACTCTAAATTATGTGATACTGACTATATAATAAATAAGTTTCATATATGAAAAAATTTCTAAGTCCTTAGAATATATATGAAAAATGAAAAAGAGTGAGATATAATATATGTGACAAAAAAGGCAATGATATTACATCTGCAATGAAATAAATTTACTCTTAATTTATTATTATCAAAATTAAGTTTATTTACAAATAATATTATTTATAATAAATTTTATAATTTATTTCAATTAAAATAAGATCATAACTAAAAATTCTTATTATTTAAAGAAATAAAATTTTAATAATCTTGATTTTAAAAGATATTTATAATTAATTATCTTTTTCATTCATGGTATTAAAAACTAATCACCATTATTTTATTAGAGACTGCACTTTTCTATACATAAATTTTTTTAAATATTTAATTAATTAAAAAATTTTAGTATTTAAGAATTTTTATTTTATAAATCTAATTATTGTAACGCCATATGGATCAGCATAGCGGACATATCATAATTTGCTGATCTTTTTATTGATATTTTGCCGATTATTATTAATGAATTTTTTAAAGTTAATTAATTAGCTCCGATTGTAAATTTCTACATAATATTATAAGTTAATCTTTTACAAGGTTGATTTATATTATTAAAAAGAAATAAAATACGAAAACTAATTATTATCGGGTAATTTTAATAAAAATAACGTTTTGTAATTACAATAAAAAAAATGCTAAATCAATGTAATTTTTATGTTAATTTACTACGATTGGAAAAACCTACATAATAACTTAAGTTAATTTTTTACAGGTAGCTTTATATTAATATAATAAAATAAAATACTGAATTTGATCGAAAACTACTTATTTTTGGGTAAGTTTTACTAGAAGCAACATTTTGCAATTACATAAAATCAAAGTGCCAAAAGTCAATGTTTTAAATCATAATAACTAATATATCAAATACAATGGTTGGTATAATTTAGCCCAAATTTAAAATTTTATTTACATAACCTAAAATATCAAATATAATGATTTGCTGTGTTGCCCGAAGCTTTTAATTCAGGATCGGCCGATTTTATAGAATGTGATAATTCATTTATATATGACAAATGATCGACATGGTGATATAAGCAAGTCCGCTATATGCGATCTACCATGATTATATAAATTATCACAACCCGTTACAGTTTAGGGATCATCATAAAATTCTCGTTTCTATTGGCGACAGATAATGACATAATATTATGTCAATTTGAAATGCAAATAGCCACTGGTTCTCTATCTATAGGTAAAGAAAAAAATGATAATTTATCACAATTACCAAATAAAGGTTTAATCGTCTTACCCCACAACATGCAGAATTACAAGTTTCAATATTTTTTTTTCCCACCTTAAAAATAACCTTGGGAACTGTGAATTTATTTGATAAATATTCATCATATAGTCTTATCAGATCAACTCATGTATGTAATATAAAAAAACAGACAGTACAAGAAAATAACCAATAATTTTAATAAAAGGTTACACACCAATACAAAACAAATAAAAAAACGTGTTTTTGACATCTATATCATGAATAAAACATTACACTTATCTGATAAAGATTATCTTGTGAAAGGGGCTTTCTTGTAGAAAAGCATTTTTATATTCCAAAAAATATCGGTTGGGAATTTGACCAATCAATGCATGAATATTCCTTAACAGTCCCTTTGTTGATACCAAAATGAAGCTTTTGTATGATGAACTGAAAATGTTCGGCCTAAATACCTTTTAAGCTTATATGGATCACCAAATATAAAAAAAAAAAAAAAAAAAAAAAGAGATTTCCCAATGGGATTCAACTTTTTACCCACGATTTCCTTATTAATTTATTAATCACAATAAGAAGTTTTTTTTTGACAGGTTTGAATTTAATCATATGAAAAGGACATAAATTCGACCAATGAATTTTGTTATTTGCAACATGAATTAATTACAAAAAATTTAAATTTAAAAACCTAAATTTCTTATTTGAAATCTGAAAATGTAATTCGTGATCGATCATTATATCATCTTCGTGTTAAGAGGGTTACAGGTTATTGGTATCTTTTTTTTAAAAAGGAAAAATGAAAAATGAGAAAATGGGAAAGGATTATCCGATATGTTCGTGGTACAAATATAAATTCATGCAGTAAATTGAATGCTCATTTGTAAGCGGTATAACCCTAACCCATTTATAAATAAATTCATTAAATAATACTAAATAGAACCTTATCATTGTGGTAATTTTATTAACCATTCAATACTTCTCACATTGTTGGGTAGATTGACACATTTCACTTAATTCGTTACATATACTGTATACCGTTTTATTCTAATGGTTAATAAACGGCGGAAACGTGATAATCAAAATATTTTGGGAAGATGTGACATTTATAATCAGTCGATTCCTTTTTTCGTAGATTTGATCTCTGTGTGGGGAATAATAATCTGTCTGTGCAGAAACAAGAATGTTTTATAAATTTTTAGATTAAAGGCTGAAAATATATTAAATTTGAGATAAAAAGCCTCGAAAAAAATTTATTTTTTTATTTTGTAAAAAAAATTTTTAATTCTCGACACAAAAAAATTATCTTTTTTATTCTATACCTTTTTTTTTTTTTTTAAAATAAATTATATACTCTTTTTTTTTTTTTTTTTTGCGACAATGACAAAGAGCAAAAGACAACACAGTACTCAAATCTTAAACTCAAAACTTAAATCCGACAACTGTGTAAAAGCTCATATACCCATCGAAACTCATGTAACCCGGTTATTTGAAAATGAAATGGTACACGCTGTATCGGTAGATTATGAACATTCTCCCTTTGTAAATAAGACGGTGTTGGAAAATGTTCAATGTAGTCATGGGTTCATAGCAACGGTATTGGAGGCTTATAATCGACATCAGCATTTACGTATCACACCAGATGATGTATGGTTAACGATAGCCCAGGGAGTTTCTCAACATGTAAATTTAAACGTGAATAAGTATCGACACTTTTTCGTACATAATAAACAAAAAATTTCCATTAATGCTAATGGAATATTTGATAGCGAACGTTGGTCGAGAAGAATCGTTGGTGATTGGCCGGAATGCGTACGGTTATTAGCAGAAAAGGCCGACAAGAAGGTCGAAAAAATCAATTTAATGAAATTATTAGAGTGTGATTATTCTACGAGTACCATTACGACGACAACGGCAAGTCGTGTCGTTCTGTTAAATTCTCTTGAAACAATTTCGCAAACACAGATTGATTGGACTTGTGGTATACCGAAAGTTACATTGGAGGGAACATTAGGGGATTGGTCACGTATCCAAGAAAAGATCAATATTTTAAGAAGTTTACCTTTAGATTTGGATTTTTGGTTTGACCGCTTAGAACCCATTATTTGGCAATTAATTGCAACTTATCAGGGCAAAGTAAACGAAAGATTTTGGAAGAGGATAGCCCATAGACTTGGTGGCTGTGGCTATGCGCCACATACAAACTCAACCCTAAATGGATGGATAACCGCTTTCTTACCATACGATCGACATGGAAATGCGTTGATAGGAAGTTCCATCGATGAGTGCGATTTACCTGACGGAAAGGTTGTCATCCCATTTAATGTAAAAGGATATACATCCTTAAAACTAATATCGGGATTTTTAGGGGTTAGGCAAGATATTATCGAAGAGAGCGGAGAATTAGTGGTATCTCCGGTTATTGGATGGGCGGTTGTTGAAGATAAAAGTAAGACCAAGCCACGCTTTTGGAAGTTTTTTCAATAGACGTTGAAATTGGCGAATTTTTTTTTTTTCTCACCACATCAGTCAGTTTTTCTTTATCCTTATTTAATTGTTTTATCTAAGCAATCGAAAAAAAAAAGTAATTATTGTAATTAATTAATTTATAAAAAATTTGTGTATATTTTTATCAATTTATTATTTAAAGTTTTTCGTGATAAGAAAAATTATTTGTTCATGTCGAACGTGATAAAAATTCACGTTTGGTGACTTTTTGAAGATACATATCTCGTTTGGCGTGCAGGACTCATTACAGAAGAAAACAATTCCACATAGATGAGCTTTATAAAATTTTGATGTAATCATTGATGCTTATGCATTTTTTATCTTTCTAGCGCTTTGCGCGACGGAAAAAACTTCGGCATATTTTATCTCGTCAGTTTTAAATTTACGACGATCAGCACACGTGATTGCTTGTTTTGGTCCTTGTGACGCGTCACGGACCTGTAAGATTTGTCAATTGAAAAACTTGACCGATTTATTGAATTTGAAATTTTTTGTGGCACAATCTTGATTTGGTTCGTCACAAACAATAGCAAACATTATTTAAACAACAATTTGAACTTGTATAATTGTAGTAAAAAAATAAGTTTCATCAGTCTGACATCGATGACATCAATGACATCAATGATCAAATGTCAAAAGTTGATCTTTACTTTAAAACGATAATTAACTTGGAATGATGAACATAAAAAAAAAGAGCTTATTTTGGTACTTGGGGAGCGGCAATGTTAGTCCAACATCGAAACTATTTTGACTATATTAATTCGAACTAATTATAATAACAGAATTATTTAATAAATTTATTTTTTTGTGAATTTAAATGATATCATCAACTATCCTTTTGATTTCGTGATTTTTAACATTGATTATGATGCATTATCATATTACGTTAAATAAAGCGTAAAAAATTATTTGTGATTAGCCCAAATCGATGGAATTTCATAACTCGTGGAACATGGCATGTAAATATTAGATTATTATGTGTATTTATTGATTGATCTTTTTTTTTTAAAAGAAAAAATCATCGCATCAGTATCTTTGCAGCTGATCAAGTTATCAATAGTAGTGATAACAAACTTTTGCTATACAAAGGAGTAACTCTATAAGGAGGACCTTTCCGCGATGTTGCAACAATAGAGGCGATCACGGATATTTTGGCATGAATTATGCTTAACGGATATGACAGATACGAACAAAGTAAATCATATTATCTCGCTTTGATTGATTGCTTCACATTGAAATCCTCCAAAGCTACGGTTTTACAAAGAAATTTTATTTTGCATTTTACCCCCGATTTTACGGTTATTTTTATTATGTTAAAGTGAGTGTAAGTCACGTGATAAATAGACTAACGCTCTTAATAGAATAATAAAAATAATAAATTATATTAAGTGACAAATAAATGACATAAGATACGAAAAGAACCTAGTTGTAAAGAATTCAATTTAACAAAAATATCAAGTTCAGTATGAAAAATGTTCAATTTCCCTCACCAAAGGGGGAGACTTCTCTTATATACATAAATAAATAAATTCAAAGTTATATACAAAATTTTTTGATGCGGTTATATTCTCGTCGCTTAAAGTCATGAGCTTTTGGATGATTAACACCAAAACAATCTGAATTTTTTATTGTTGGTATTCAAGATTGGAGATTCTTTGACTCTATTACAAATAATTGCCCAACCGATGACAGGTTTTACGATAACTTCATCGGAATTTTCAATAATTTGCTGTTTTACACCTAAAAATCCTGATGCGAAAAGCAAATCCTCGGAATCCTTTTCTCCCTTCTCGAGATTAAATGTGATGGTTGTCCTACCATCAGGTAAGGTCGATTCATCTAACCAATTGTTAACCAAATCACCATTACAATCATAAGGAAAGAATTTGGTAATCCAACCCGTTAATTCGGGAGGTCCACCACAACCATAATCTTCCTTGGCGATGTTTTTCCAAAATTGTCTATCAACATTTCCTTTAAAGGTTTCAATAAATTGACAAATAATCGAATCCAAATCATTTAACCAAAAGTCCAAGTCCAGATTAAGATTCCGTAATCGAATCAATTTTTCTTGAATCAACAACCAATCCTCGATCCTACCTTCTAACGTAATTTTAGGTATACCGCAAAATATTCCCATGTTATATGAGTAGTAATTCTTCATACTCTCGAGTAAGATGACCCGACTCGCCGTGATTGTACTTGACGTACTCGTGGAAAAATCGCATTCCAACAATGATTTTAAGTCAACCTTTTCGATCAATTTGGTGGTTTCCTCAACAAGGTCGTCAACACATTTTGACCAGTCCCTTGATTCACTTGATGAGTTGCTTTCCTTTAGAATGATATTTTCCCTTTCGTTAAGTTTAACAAATTTATTTTTCTCTTTCTCAAAATTAAAGTTAATATGAGCGCTAACCCCTTGAGCTATGGTTAACCAGATGTCATCAGGGGAAAAACACAAATGTTGATGACCGTTATAAGCTTGCAATACTGCGGCCACCAACCCATGACGACATTGCATCTTCTCAAGAACTCGAACTTCCTCGCCGGTCCATGATTCGGATGTCGCATAAACCTTCTCGGGTTCGACCTCGAATAAATTTGAAACATTTGATCTCATAGATATATTGGGTCTAAGTCTTTTGTCAACTTTAACATTTTTATCGAGAATTTGTGTGCTTTTTGGTGTATCCAACGAATAATACTGCATCATTTTTTGTTTTATTTATAAAAATGTTGTTTGGGAATTTTTTTTTTTTTTTGTTCTGTTATGAAAATGAAACGTTTTTATGTTGAATCTCAATCATTTATATCTCACAAGATAATGGGGAGGGGGTTTTTTTTTTCTCTGTTTTTTCCTAAACGCGTAAAATAAAATTTAGCGACAATGAAGACAATCTTCGTTATCGGGATTGCACAAAATTTATTTTAATGAACAAGACCCCCAATCTTTGATGTCGTCTAACCTTATTTTAAACAGATAAGCCTAAATTGTCATATCGATAACATTATTTTCATTTTAGTTGCCTTAAAAAAACAAACATCGGTAAATATTTACTTATCTCTATTGAATAACTCTACGATATGCATAAAAAGTTCGACAATCACATTTGATTTTTATCGCTGGCGTAAAAACGTTCAATTCCTCGTTTTGCATTTCTTAAATTTTTCAACAGAGTAGTGCATGAATTTATTTAATACATTTAATATGCTTATACATGCACCGCCCAGTTGCCTAATTGTTAAAACTTTTCATTTCATTCCACACCTGCTGATTGTTTTTTTTCTTAAAATATCGATCCAATCCTGTGGTGTAATCTTTTACAATGCAAATGACAATCGGCAATTTTGGGTACAAAGACCACTCTCGATAATGTACGTACCATGTACGCCCTCCAAAATGTCACGAAATGCTTTTACAATTATACGCACATATCTCGGAACCAATAAAGTGAACTACGACCTTGTTTTCTATTTGAGAAAAATTAAAAAGTTGATTGAATGCAAGTAAAAACCAGTCAACTGGTGACCTAAAAGATTTAATGCTTTTTCTCCAACGTTTTGCTACATATTAATGTACATGTTCAACTTTGAATGCTGCTGTAAATCTGGCCGAGTTATCGAGAAATTTTAAATCTTGGTAGAAATTTGAAATTTAATTTATGAAATTTCCTAGTTATCACACATCGATCTTTACATATTTACAACCAAATAAAATTAAAGTAAGATATTAAGACTTATTCCTTGGTGCCATTTTTGCAATTCAATTAATTGAATTGATCGAACCAATTTCATAATAACGCGGATATAATATCTTGTTCGCGAATTTTTTTAATTGATTTTTTTTTTTTTTTTTTTTTTTTTTTTTTTTTTGAATTTAACAACATTTAAAAATGTATTTATTTTTTCGACATGAACAACGGTCTCTGTTATTATTCTATTAGGTAAACTAAGTTTAACGATTGAAGTAAATTCTTAGTATGTATAACGGGAATCCATAGATATCATTACTTATCACGGCTACGCCGTGATGATATGATAATGAGATCGAGGATGATCCGTGAAATAACTATTTTATCTCAGGGAATTTCTAATTAATAAGCTCAAATCAACTCAACCCATTTCATCGTGAAAAATATCATTAAAAAAATCAACGGGCGTTAATTAGAAACCATGAGATAAGTTTTATTTTTTTTCTTTAAATGCAAAAGTATCTTAAAATAATTAAATCTTTTCTATAACAATAAATTTGTAGGTCACACCAGATGAATTTTGTGATGACAACCAAAATCTAGACCGGATATTTTAAAAATGTCACATGAAAATACTAATAATTGGATTAGTTGATGAAAATCAGGAGGTAATACCGTAAGCAACTTCCTTCCAAGTTAAATTCAAAGTTAAAAAAATTTAATAATCATTTTGTGCTTATTAAAAAGTTACTCAACATGTTTGATCTCATGAGTGCGGTTGCTTGGGGGTCTAACTGCGACATTTTACGCGTAAATCACTTTTTTTTTTAAAAAAAAAAATCAAGATCATTTCTGATATCTGACTTATGACTCCTCCCTTGCAAATAATGAATACCTGATTAATACTCGAATATAATTGTTGTGGGTTACGTAACTTAATACATCGTAGATTTAGAGAATCTTTTCCGGTAATTCCGCTAATGATAGTTAGAGTTATATTTTACTGCACTCAATTGAAAGATCCCCCCCCATTTTCTCGTGATGAGCAAGTAGCCTGATGATGATTACATAATAATTGTAGTAGTAGATCATAAAACACATAACATTTCATCATCAATAAACAGCTAAACTTTCGTAACTACATAATTTCATCAGAAAAAAATATCTAATTTTTACAAATAAAAAAAAAATTTTCTCTTTATTTAAATAAATTATATGTGTCAATGTTTTAAAATGAAAAAGAATCGAGCACTGATATTTTTAAATATGTTGGTTTAACATTACGTTGCGGATCATATATCTAAGATCATTTTCCTACTTCAATACTTTCCTATCAAGTAATTACTACTTCAATATTACTAAAAGATTTCTGTCATGTGATTAGAACTATTTACATATGGGTTTGATTAGGATTTAATCATTCAATTTATAAAAGAAAAGATCCTAAAATTGTTTAAAATGAATCGGTATCATCGAAATCATCCTTCTCATAAATTACATTATGATCAACATCTCTTGAACATCCTTCAGTCCCTAACAACATCCCGCAAGCACCGCATACACAGGGATCAAGTTCTTCTAAATCACATTCGGGAGTTATACAAATTGGTCTAGTTTTACAACCAATTTTAGTTTCTTCCCATTGACAACAAGCAAATCTCCATCTACAACCACTTTCACCCAAAAATCTTTTACAACATGAGCATTGTTTAACACATCCTTCATCCGTGAAAGGACGTTGACAATCTCTACACTTATCTTTAGCCGTCCAAATAACCCCGGCGGCGGCACCGAGAACTCCACCTGCGATCGTACCAGCGGCTAACCCGTACGGACCGGCGGCGGAAGCAGGTCTACCAATAGCGGCAGCACCCGTGAGCGCACCAGAAATCATAGTGGGCAAGATCTTTTCTGAGGAAGGTCTCTTACTATCGGAATGAACGAGAATGACCGGACCGTAATGACCCCTAACTAACTTACGTGGATGATAATGCTCCATTTGAATATTATGCCTTGGGGGAGGATTGTTAGATGGATGACAAAGATTATCAAATAAACGAGGGTCTCCCAAGCAATTACACCTTTTACATCTTGCGTGTACGAAATTGATTTCCACTCCAAAAGGTAATCTAGAAATACGTTGTCTAACTTTTCCTCCAATTTCTTCCTTTGAATAAACGTTCCAAATTAACCTATGTTCCGCCGACATAGTATTATACATATCATTTGGTATATCATTTATATCAAAGATCCAACAGGCCAAATGATCAACTTTAACAGTTAAATTTCCTGCATCAACAATGTTTTTTTCGTTGATAAATTTCGTCATTGCTAATTTTGCTGCTACTTTAGGACCTTCACTTAAATTTGGGGATAACATTGGACCTCTAATAATAATTAAAACGCTCTTCCAAATATTACCATCAAAATTATCCAAATCTGCGTATTCGACTAATTTTTGTATAAAATTCGCACCACGTTGTAATGTTTGATCACAACGTTCACTTTCCAAGCAAAACCATAATATAATGTCAACTTTAAATTTGTTATCTTCTGAATAATTTTGCATCAACGTTAACATGTTACGAAATACTTCCGAGTCATCTCTACCATTACTATCCGAAAATCCTGGCGTATCTATATACCTGTATTTGTCATTTTCATATAATGCGGTTTGTTTGGTTATCGAACTATGACCTTCTCCTGATACTGTATTCACACCAAAAACTATTCGTCCAAATGTACTTTTACCAGTTCCTGTCCCTCCAATAGCCAAAATGGTTTTTGGTCCTGATCCTTTACTTGAAATATGCTAACAATAAAAAAAAAAGGAGCGCGAATTTGTTTAACAAATGAAATTCTCCGAAATTCATTATGTGTTCAATAAAAAGAAATTCCTACCATTTTATTGGAAAGAACAGGTGAGAAGTACAAAAAAAAAAAAAAAAAAAAAAAAAAAAATACCGTCAAGAAATTAAATAATAATCATGGTACATTTTATAATAAAAAGTCTTATAAATACCCCCCCCCCCCATTATATTAAAAATTAGGAGTGGTTATTTATCCAAATCCGGAAAAGACAAAAAGGTTGATGTGTTTGTTGTATGTAACTATTTTCAAACATCAGTGAAACGTGAAAACGAGTGTTTCTTGCAGACCTTGCAGATAAAAGAATTGCTTAAAAGCCAATTGTTACGCCAATGAATATTGTTTCAGCCTTTTCTCTGGGCGCAGAAGCTCTGCTATGCTGATCAAAAAAGGGGGGCAATTGAATTTTTTATGGTTTCTAGATTACAAACAACGTTACGTTCTTTATCGTTTTAATTTAACAAAAAAATAAATAAACATTACATGTTGAGATCTCTTGATCCACGGAACACTGGAAATTAAAAATTACAGAACATGGCCTAAAATCGGCCAAAAATTGGCTAAAATTCAACCTAGCCGATTATGTAACCTTATCCATATTTAATCTCCGTTAATTGGTCACAAATCGATTTAATATCTATAATACGATAATATAATTTGACAATTTAATATCAAATTTTTTTTTTAGTCGACAGTTAAAGACGATTCATGTGTTTTGATGCAATTTCAGTTGTTTTTTTCAATTGAATTGATAATTGAAAAATAGTATTCGATAGACAGAAATTTTCTTTACTAATGCAATCTTCAATTTTCTTTTAATTTTTTTTAGTAATTAAAATGCTTTATACAAAAAATTTGTTTAAGGTAATAATAGAATAAATATGAGAGATAAATGTATATAATATATAAATGGGAAATCAAACAAATTCTAAATTGTCAACTTACAAAGACTAATTTACAGTAATTTAAAAATTTAGAATTAATCTATGGAAAAAAAAATATATAGATACAAATGCAAATGATGATGATTGAAATGAAATGAAATGCTATGCTATGCTATGCTATATGCTATGCTATTATGAATATGAGAATGAATAATGCTTATAATGAAATAAAATGCTTTGTTGTCAGTATGTTATGATTGGTAATTTTTTGGTTAAATAAAAAAAGGTTTGTACAAAAGAAGAAATCATTATCATAAAACTTTTTTTTAAAATTTTTCGTCATTACTTCTCATTTCTCTTTGAATCCTTATCAACAAATTGCTTTTTAACGACGGACCTTCTTCCTTGCTTTTTAGCTCGTTTTGCATGAAGCACAGCATCTTCTGGAGCGGCAATGATTCTTTTAGTCATTAACCTGCGGTTTTTAACGGATGACTCATTTATATCGGATTCTGGTTGAACTAATGTTGGAGGTAATATACCTCTTTTCTTAGCTTTATAAATAGATTCTATGGCCCATCCAGCATTGTAATTTAATGGCTTTGCGGAACGAGAGTCTAATGAGGAGGTTCTTGATGTCATGTCGAGTGGTACTGCGGATGTGAATATAGCAGCTATTATTTCGAACCGAGAGAGAAGCTGTTAAAGGATGAGCTGGAAAAAGTAAAAGGGTAATCAAAATTGATAAATTAACTTACCACATAAACACAAGATAATGATAATGTTTATAATGTTTGTTTTATACATTTTGATTAAAATCGTAGGTAAGGTGTGTTTGAATTACGTTCTTTGAATACGCCAAGAATGAATGAATGTAAAGGAGAATGTAAACTAAAAGAGCTACCAGAGCTTTGAATTCTCTCAAAATAAAATATTCAAAGACTTATGTTGGAAACACACCTTTTATTGAGGGGGATGATGGTCGGTGATAAGGGAGGGAGAAGGCGAAAACAAATATGAAATTAATTCTTCAAATTAATGAAGAAGAAAAAAAAGTTTTTTCCCATATCCAGTTGATAGGGTTGTTATTTATATAATTTGTTACAATGTTCCATGGTAATACAACGCAACACCAATTTCTTTGTTATCATGAGTGAGCTATAACTTAAAACGTCGAATAAATCTCAAAGATCTATAAAGACATTCCCCATTTGGAGTACAAAGAAAATCAATGTCACTTATATTTGCTTGATTCGTAGGTTACAAAATTAAAATTAAGGTTCCACGGAAATTGGTTAACAAAGAATGCTCTAACCTTATAAGTCGAGAAAGTTTGGCGTTAAGATTAACACGTAATTCATTTAATTGATTAATTTAATTTGTATTGAACGAAGATGATTTAAAATGCTCAACAAGAAGAAATCGAATTACGCATTATCAAGATGTTTGGCGTAAAAGACAAGGAAAAAGTTCCTCGATTTTAATAGGAAACTAAAAAGGTGGAATGATGAATTGATCATCTTTGTTAGCATTATAAAACGATAAAATAAATTTTTAAAAATTTGTTTTCAAACACTATACAAGGTCCTTCCTTTGTTAAAATTTGTAATACTGCATTTACTGAATGTGGTTAAAACAAAAAAATATACATCTTGTACGAACTCGTGGCCCATCTAATGAAATCCTGATTCGAACGTCACCTTGTTGATTTCTGATTCGGATATTTGCCCTGTTGATTCATAATGACCATTCTGTTATCCAAAAATGTTTAGAATTAACGAGAAATCATGGATAATCGGCAATCGTTCAGCGTGTCACAAATATCTCAACACATTTGAGCCCATTATGGAATATCATTTGGAAACCTAAATATCGGACAGAGTACCCAATTACCCCCAACTTCATCGAATATGGTTTTTTTTTCGGAGTGTGATTTGACGTTATTGACTGAATTAGTTAGAAATTAATATAATTTTTAAAAGAGTTAAATTATTGTTTATATTTTAATTTTGATGATCGTAAATTTACTAAATTCGTACAACTTTTACATTTCATACTTTTGAACTAAGTGATTTCGGGAAAGTAAGTTTTTTTTAGCTTCTAAATCGGCAAATAATAATAATAATAATTTCATGTAAATTCTATATACAGTATAATATTTTTGACTATCAACTAGGAAACGGGGACCGTTGTGAGTCCTGAACGAATTATTGGACGAAAATCACGTGGCGGACGGAGAAACGCTCACATGACCGAAATTTACTTAATGCACAGAAATATATAGTCCGCTTCGCTCAGGACAATTATTAGTTATGGATTACTTCCGACCACATTAGATTATATGTAAAGGTTACAAAAAGGTTAAGCTTTCTGAAGTAAGCTTAAAAAAACATTATTACATTTTTTGAATGTTTATTTGTCATACCTGCTATTATAAGAGTATGGATTCATTACAAAAGATAAATTTTTGTTTTAAATTTCTGAATACATTAATTAAGACTTATATTAGTACTAAATAAATGTATATTTTAAACAATAATATATAAGTATTATTAATAATTCAATACAATAATTATATTTATAGTTTTTATATACTTAAGTAAATATATTAAATTTCTATACTATTATAAAATATTGTATTAATATAATTATTAAAGAGAAAAATATAAGATAAGTTAATTGTTAATTTTACTTAATAATTATTTTAATTATTTTAATTACTTATTATAGTTTTTTTTTGATTTATTTTTAAGTAATATACTAAAATTAATAATTTATATTAAATAAGTTAATTATCTTATTTAGAAATATAATTTGTTTAAATGATATTAATAATATTAATTTTTTTTTTAATAATTGCATTGACAATTTTTTTAATAATTATTAATCATTATATATAATTAATTTAAATAAAATAATTAAAATAAGTTATAATAAATTTATTAAATATTTTAAAAACAATATTTATCATAATAATATATATAGTCAAACTTTTCTATAATCACTTTATATATAGTTATATTCTCCTTTATAAGCATATTTATGTTAGCTCAAATTACTAATAAACTTATTAAAAAAACTCTCTTTAGTCACATATAGTATTATTACACAAGAGAAAATATTAATGATGATGATCTAAGAAAAGATGATAATTTTTAAGAAATCTTTTATATCTTATATATCTTCTATATTATCTATACTATATATTTCTTCTATGTAATATATTATTTTTATTTGTTTTATCTTATTTATATCTTAGAAATAGATTTATTAAATAGTTTACTTTAATTTTTCTTATATACTTGTACAGTACAGAGCGTTGATTAAAGCAGTACTTAATTATTATCGTTATTAAATAAACTCTACTAATTGACATTACTTTTAAAATCAATTATAAAATTAACCTTCTACTTATTATTTGAATTATCATTTTACTTATCATTTATAAACATCTTAAAAAACTAATTATAATAGTATTTTATAATCATATAATTTTTTTAATTCTAAGAGATATAACTATATAAGGTCAACTATATAATATTTTAATTATTTTATAGTTAATAATAAATTTAAAATTTTAATTATTTTTATTTTATATATTTTTATTTTTATATTTAAAATATATATATAATCTGACAGTATATAAAATTTATGTACACAATATGCATATACAGTCAACTCTTTCTACAACGAATTTTGATATAACGAATTTTACAATACAACGGATTTTCAGTGTCAGACA